TAATATACAAATCGGGAGATAGCTAAGCTTATATTATACCCTATTCGCGATCGAGAGAGAGCTCACAAAATCGTTATAAAACATACGACCTGTTTAGTTGTCGTTCGTCTTCTTCTCTGTATGCAAGGGACACTTTGGAGATAAAGTTCATTTACTTCTTCGTATGGGAGATCAATATGTGCACAAAATCCAAGTATGGTTTCTAAGTGCTAACTCTGGAATTATTCTGTATGTGACTCGTCTAAGGACGTTGGTCATCAAGAGAAAAACGTATGGAGTTTGGACGCTTCCAGAACTGTCGCTGAACTCCCCGAATTCTGACAAATTCCCTGTATATCTTCTGAATTTCGACCAATCATCGGCCAGTAACTCTTTCATGAGAACGGATGAAAGGGGAATGAATGAGGGGTAACCATTTCCCATCTGAGCAGGATTTTAACCAGATAAGGGAAAGTCAGAGGATGTACTAACTTCAGTGAAAGGAAGTAACATCTGTTATCTGCCTATTCCCACGTTAAAACAGTATTTTTCTCACCGAAAATGAAGTAGTATTTGGTGACATTATTTTAACATTATTAATAAAATATTAATTTAAACCCAGGGGCCTTTCGGGTCTCACATTAGTATCCGGATCTTTATTAAATTTACCATGTGCGAGACGCAAAAGTTGTTCAGCATTTTATCTGCAGATCTGTCTTCCAATAGATGGACCCTCGTAGTTGTTGACAGAGACAACTTTTTAATTTGATTCCACAGTTACGATGCCTTTAGGCAAATATTAAGCTACTTGGGGGTGTCGGCAGACAAATTCCTTCGCACTATTAAATCTCCTTTATAAGTTTCTAATGTGAGGAATAACAATGGTAATAATAATAATGCTAGGGATACGGTAAAATAATAAAATAATTTTGTTATACATAAAACTAAAAGGGCGAAGGCAAGATCTTAGATCGAGGAACTCTTATGCCTGGTGTCTTAAACACTTCTCTATTGTGATAACAATAAGTGAGCCTTCAAGACTTATAGCCTAAATACTCAATTTTCAAAGGCAAGTCTTTCGAAAGACTGGAGAAGTGAGTGCTATTGTTTGGACAAGGATCTGCTTGTGTTTAGGACTACGTGTCACCAAGTTTCGTTCGAATCGGAGACGACCATACTCATACAAATTATGGTCCAGATCGGTTTAACAATAAAGATTTATACAGTCGACCCCCCTATAATACTGTTGATTATTCCGTTTTATATGAATTTTATGTTGTACTGTACGAGTCACTTAGATTTTACAAATACGTGTGCCGGGCTGTGAACGGCTCATGTACTTGTAAAATCTAAGTGACTCGTACAACATGGAATTCATATAAAACGGAATAATCAACAGTGTTATAGGGGGTCGACTATATAATGGACAAACCAAGAAAAATTGACATGTATAGATAGTTAATTGTTATTAGTGAATCCCACAATTCTGCTCAATAGAAAGATTGAATGGAATAATTCATAATAAATGATTTATAAGAATAGAAAACCGATTCAAACACAAATTGACCTCGTTTTACCGCTCATTTCGATCGTTGATGGTTATTTGGCTCCAATATAAATAATACTTTCATTAATAAATCAAATATTCATAATACTTCACTGTTATTCATTTTTTCAACAATATCCCAATGAAAGATTAATTTTTGCTCTTTCTGTACTTTACTTTTAAAAATTAAAAATTTTAATAATTTAATCAGGTAGCGCCAATTGTTCTTTTTTAAATAAAATTGACAGTTACGTTACGTATTTCAGAAGGAAATAGAGGACGAAGGTAAAGAATTGGTAAAGTATATTTTCTATTGTAATTATTGAACGGAGTGAAACTTGTTTTCTTTTTTATGTTTTTCGCTGTATTTTATGCATAAAACAAACTTCACGTGCAACATAATATTATATTATCCATATCTATATGTAATTTATATACTGTATTTATTAAAAACAAAATGTTCCTTCACGGCCAACAGATACAAACACTTTACAAAGTGCTATAGAGACTCGCATCTGACTGCGTGAAATATAATCAAATAAATCGATACAGACAAGTATCAATACATTAACACAGGAAATATAGAAAGTTGATTGTCTGTGGACATCTTTTGCGGAGTAGATTATTCGACAACCGGAGGAAATATGGCGTTTAAAATTTTGTTCGTAAACAGAGCCGTTCGATACTCGACGTTTGACTGTATAAAGGATAAGAAAGGTTAGGTTAAGAAATTAGAATTAATGAATTCAGATAAAAAATTTATACTTAATGACTACCCTAAAATAAAATCATCATGAAGTGTGACCCTACTGGAGATACAGAAGACCTCCTTTATCGCTCCATCCCTTCGATCTGTAATCACCAAAATTTAGCAGCGTCAATTTTCCTATAAAGCACCTAGCAAGATTTCAGAAATTTTCGCGAAACGTACAGGAGTTAAGCTTTATAGAGGGTGAACAACATTGTCCCCCAGAGACACAAACTCACACTTAAGTACTGTACGTACATACAGTAAAGAACCAAAATTTTTTGCATTTCTCGACGTTTCAAGATGTTCTGAGTCGAAGAATGTAAAATCTTGGGGTGTCATCTCACCGTTCTTCTTACTACTCTCTCTTAAATACATAACAGATGGGAAATTAATAAATTCTAAAAAGGAAAATGTTATTAATATATAAGAAGGTATGTAATTTTTGTGTGGATTTTTCCAGTTTTTTTACGATTCTAATGCCTAAAGATGTGCCAGTTACACTTAAAAGAGTTTTCAGAAGGCATTTTCCCAGACTCTTTGGAGGATAAGCAACTACGCAATAACTTCTATTTTATCCCCGGTATAAGAGATAGAAAAGTATTTTTTAATTTGTATGAAATAGTAAAGGATAAATATTAGTAATTATGTCGATTATAGTGTTATTGAACAATATTAAATATGTAAACTCAAAAAAACACAACACCTTAATTTGCTGAGAAAACTTTTAATGAAAAGCTAACGTTTTCAGCCAACTCTATTGGCCATCATCAGGCTAAGCTTTTTCGAATACAAAGAAAATAGAACAAAAATTTTTAAATACAAAAAAACAAAATAACGAACGAAATNTTGCCTATTCTACGGCTATACTGACACGTTTTGTTCCTTTGTAAATTCCCAGTATCATAAGTACTATTGCATTGTATTCACTAATTGCCCATTGCTTACTGTATCCACTTCAAAGTTCATATAGTTATGAACTTTATTGTTTATTTGCAATCTATTTTCTGTAACCCATGTCCAGCTATGCCTAGCGGTGCTGGACATGCATTTTTATGCATTAATAAAATAATTGAATTGAATTGAGTCCGTGTGTATGCACGCTCTGCAACCGTCTTCGATTCCATCCATTAGCCACTCGTAGGGAGCTACTTGATTGATTAAGTGCATTGTTTTAAAATTTAAAAAGTAAAGAATATTTTATATTTTTATGTACGTTTCTTTGCAAAGCTATATTTAATTATAATTTTCTTTAAAAGTACAGTACATTCGTACAATTGAAGAATATTTTGTACCAAGTATGTACCGGTACATCCAACAGACATTTTATTTCACCGAGTAAGTTTTTATTATTTTATTTTTAATTGTAGCCCTTATATCGTGGCTAGCGATTCAGAATGTAATTGTGATATTAAAAAATGCATTTAGAGAAGTCTACGGTTTTTACTGGCTTATCAAATAAACGATACGAGTGGATCCTAGACCATCACTGACGCGCGATTGCTGATAGCACCTGGATGTCGGCTTCTTGCAGAAACACAGCTTCCCTATCATTAAATGTCACGGCACACCACTGGTAATATTACTGAGCAACCTGTAAGCTGTATTTTTATAAAATAATTTTCTATATACATAATTTAATAGAATTCCGACGTGAGAATGAAATAAATCGTGAAAATCGATTTATTTCATTTTATTCACAGAATAAACAATAAATATAAACAATAATTAAAGTTTATAAATGCGCACACTAAGTGATAAAGCTATTCATTTTAAACAGCTGAAAGGCATATTAATAGGCTAAGTCTATGTAGACAAAATATATAACAAATAGAAAATAAGGACATAGAGACATACGAATTAATATGTATCCTATATTGTTTAATTTAATTCATTTGTAATCTTTTTTATTTTATTAACCATTAAATTAGTTAAGTAATTGTCATCTTGACTTTAATCCAATTTCTTAAAAAGGACGGCTATCGAACTCACTCACAATCCCTACACTTATAAGGATAAGCCCTTCTTCTCGGTTTTATATAAAGTCTTAATATCGCGAGTTAGCGCGCAAATATATTACCCTAGCTGCTGTCAGGTCCTGATGTCACAAAGATGTAAAGATTTTAATGACTATTTTATAAAACCATCCATTGACAAATTGAGCGAGTTTAGCCGACTTATCACCGATTAAATAGTATATTGGCAATAGCCTTTACCAATGGCTTTTCACACTTTCTTGTTAAATGTCTCCATATTGCTCATTGACAGATTAAAGCTAATCGCTGAGTACTAATTCTGTGCATACATGATCTTAATATCTCTATAACGTTGATGAAATAATGTGTTTATGCAATTAATTTTTGTTTATAGAAAAACAATACGCAAACTTCATATAATGTGGAATTAAATTATTTTTACTTAGTAATTTTCAAAAACAAAAGGTATGAAATTTATGAAAATAATTGAGAATTTATTAGTAATTTATATTCGATTTAAATCACTACAATTTGAATGTTAAATATCGTATGTAATTTCGTCACTAAAATTTAAATTTCAAACTCATTTGAAATCTTACAAAATCGAAAGATTTCAACGTTTTTAACGTTGCAAATTTCTTTAATGATACTTTTTCATGTGTTCTTGCATTGAAACTTCGTCGTCAAACTGAACTTGACACAAGACACATTTCAATTCATATCGATCGATTCTTACTTCTGGAAACAGATCGAAAAATGTCGATGGTACCACGTGTGTTTCGAAGGTAGTGTCTTTATGGATGTCTTCAGGCTCATGTGATATGCCACTCGTCATTCCAGAAATGATTTCTTCACGTTGTTTTCGTTCTTCGTCGGAATTGATTGCTGCACTAAAACAGGGATCAAATTCTTTTCTTTTCCTCTCATTTATAACGTCTTTAATATTGTCTTTTATATCCTGTAAATATACATTTCATAAAATTTAATATATACTATCCAAACATTCGAATTCGTTTTAAAAAAGCGATTTGGATGTTATAATACAATAATTTGTAATGATTGAACATTCTTGAATGGTTATAAATAAAAATTATTTACTATATCTGCTGTGTGTCTGTTACTATAATCGTAGTTAGTCATTATATATTCGGTGCCATTTGAACAATTGGCGTGAAAACACTTTGTAACTGGGTGACGAAAACATATTGGCTGCAGTTTGAATAAATTATAGATTTATAAATTTCCACTGTCGTTTGTCAGTCCATCTGTTTTTAGTTTTTCTATAATTTCTAGAACGGAGTTAAATAAATGTAGGCCGAAACAAGATATGGAAATCTTAAAAGCAAGAAGCCCCGAAATTTTTCATAATTTTATGCATTTAGTTAATAAAATTATGTACAAAGTGTTTAGAAATGCTTTTTAGAACATGTTATTTTATTACTTTGGTTTATTTTTTATTATTCAACTTTTGTCAAGTTGCCATGGAATCAATTCCCATCCAGTCACATTTTAAACTGATTTCTGATGAAAATACTTAATTCTATCAATTCAGTGAAGTGTCTAGTTCATTTTCCCATTTTAATATGTATAATAATGAACTGAAAATTTTATTTCTTTACATGATTTAACAAATTTACTTGATTTAAAGAATGAAATTCAACACGGTATACCGTGTCGAAATACCGTTTCCTCGTATTTACAACTACCGCGGTAGTTGTAAATACGAGGAAACGGAAAAATAGAATAAACTTTTGATAGATAATTTTAATGGAAGGAAAAACGTCAGGAACAGAATCGATGAAATTTTAAAATATGAAAACACAACTTTAAAAAAAAATTTACAACGAGTTGCGTAACTTTCAAGGTTGTTACACCCGGGAAAGTTACACCCGGATTTTATTCTAAAAATATCATTTTAATTATTAATATTGTTTAATCTATTACAGATAAAGGAATGCGAATGAATAAGAAAAAATTTATTGAAGTAATTTTGACGACGGAGACACGCAATAATCGTGAAATTTCGAAAGAGTATAACAGATTGCATCCAAACTCTTACAATCACACAGCAGTCAAGATGCAACCTGTTTAATTTCGGCAATTTCTCGCTGATTATATTTTTCTACCGTGAAAATGAATTAAATTAAGTCTTTGTTACAAGCAATTGATTTAAAATAATAAGTAGAGATTGATAATACTGTAATTATATAGTTATAGATTCACGTGACATTTTCGTTTACACATAGTTTCGTATACCAACTTCAAAATATGTACAGTACATTTGAGCACTAACTTCACAAGATTTATTAANTTTTGATCGAGTGTACGGGTCAAAGATAGAAAGTCATTCTTGTCTCATTGCATAACTTTGGTGTTTCATATTTCGCAAAAGCAATACTGGTGCTCTAACCTATACATCTAGGTTACGAGGTGGTAGTTCATTTGATTTCGAGGAGTTTGAAAACTCCGCGGGGTACATTCGGTAAAGTATTCGTTTATAGATTCCAATATCGCTCACGTATGTCCATTTGTGGTTTATTTAGTGTTATCGAATTAGTATCCGGATCTTTATTAAATTTACCATGTGCGAGACGCAAAAGTTGTTCAGCATTTTATCTGCAGATCTGTCTTTCAATAGATGGACCTTCGTAGTTGTTGACAGAGACAACTTTTTAATTTGATTCCACAGTTACGATGCCTTTAGGCAAACATTAAGCTACTTGGGGGTGTCGGCAGACAAATTCCTTCGCACTATTAAATCTCCTTTATAAGTTTCTAATGTGAGGAATAACAATGGTAATAATAATAATGCTAGGGATACGGTAAAATAATAAAATAATTTTGTTATATATAAAACTAAAAGGGCGAAGGCAAGATCTTAGATCGAGGAACTCTTATGCCTGGTGTCTTAAACACTTCTCTATTGTGATAACAATAAGTGAGCCTTCAAGACTTATAGCCTAAATACTCAATTTTCAAAGGCAAGTCTTTCGAAAGACTGGAGAAGTGAGTGCTATTGTTTGGACAAGGATCTGCTTGTGTTTAGGACTACGTGTCACCAAGTTTCGTTCGAATCGGAGACGACCATACTCATACAAATTATGGTCCAGATCGGTTTAACAATAAAGATTTATACAGTCGACCCCCCTATAATACTGTTGATTATTCCGTTTTATATGAATTTTATGTTGTACTGTACGAGTCACTTAGATTTTACAAATACGTTAATAAATTAATGAAATTACTCAGCAACACCTGTAAGCTGTATTTTTATAAAATAATTTTCTATATGCATAGTTTAGTAGAATTCCGACGTGACAATGAAATAAATCATGAAAATCGATTTATTTCATTTCATTCACAGAATAAACAATAAATATAAACAATAATTAAAGTTTATAAATGTGCACACTAAGTGATAAAGCTATTCATTTTAAACAGCTGAAAGGCATATTAATAGGCTAAGTCTATGTAGACAAAATACAGTATATAATAAATAGAAAATAAGGACATAGAAACATACGAATTAATATGTATTTTATATTGTTTAATTTATTTGTAATCCTTTTTTATTTTATTTACTCATTACATTAGTTAAGTAATTGTCATCTTGACTTTGATTCAATTTTTTAAAACGGACGGTTATCGAACTCACTCACAATCCCTACACTTATAAGGATAAGCCCTTCTTCTCGGTTTTATATAAAATCTTAATATCGCGTGTTAGGGCGCAAATATATTACCCTAGCTGGTGTCAGGTCCTAACGTCACAAAGATCTAAAGATCCCAGTGACTATTCTATAAAACCACCCATTGAGAAACTGAGCGAGTTTAGCCGACTTATCACCGATTAAGTGGTATATAGGCAATAGTTTTTACCAACGGCTTTTCACACTTTCTTGTTGAATGTCTCCATACTGCTCATTGACAGATTGAAGGTAATCGCAGAGTACTAATTCTGTACATATGTGATTTCTATAAGTCTATAACGTTGACATAATTATGTGTTTATGCAATTAATTTTTGTTTATAGAAAAACAATATACAAACTTCATATAATTCCGGATTAAATTATTTTTACTTAGTAATTTTCAAAAAGAAAAGGTCTGAAGTTTATGGAAATAATTGAGAATTTATTAATAATTTATATTTAATTCAAATCACTACAATCTGAATGTTAAATATTGTGTGTAATTTCGTCACTAAAATTTAAACGTCAAACTCATTTGAAATCTTCACTTACACAGATTACAATCGAAAGAATTACAAAACAATCGTAAACTAAAAAGTATTTTAACGTTTTTAAAGTTAAAAATGTTCCTTAATGATACTTTTTCATGTGTTCTTGCATTGAAACTTCGTCGTCGAACTGAACTTGACACAAGACACATTCCAATTCATATCGATCGANCCGACATCACAATGAAATAAATCATGAAAATCGATTTATTTCATTTCATTCACAGAATAAACAATAAATATAAACAATAATTAAAGTTTATAAATGTGCACACTAAGTGATAAAGCTATTCATTTTAAACAGCTGAAAGGCATATTAATAGGCTGTCTTCGTAGACAAAATGTATAACAAATAGAAAATATAGACATAGAGACATACGAATTAATATGTATCCTATATTGCTTAATTCATTTGTAATCCTATTTAATTTTATTTACTCATTAAATTAGTTAAGTAATTGTCATCTTGACTTTGATTCAATTTTTTAAAAAGGACGGCTATCGAATTTACAATCTCTTCACTCCTAAGGATAAGCCCTTCTTCTCGGTTTTATATAAAGTCGTAATATCGCGGGTTAGAGCGCAAATATATTACCCTAGCTGATGTCAGGTCCTGACGTCACAAAGATCTAAAGATCCCAGTGACTATTCTATAAAACCATCCATTGACAAAGTGAGAGAGTTTAGCCGACTTATCACCGATTAAGTAGTATATTGACAATAGCCTTTACCAATTGCTTCTCACACTTTCTTGTTAAATGTCTCCATATTGCTTATTGACAGATTGAAGGAAACCACAGAGTACTAATTCTGTGCATACATGATCTTTATATCTCTATAACGTTGACGAAATAATTTCTTTATGCAATTAATTTTTGTTTATAGAAAAACAATACGCAAACTCCATACAATTCTGAATTAAATTATTTTTACTTGATAATTTTCAAAAACAAAAAGTATGAAATTTATGAAAATAATTGAGAATTCATTACTAATATATATTTGATTTAAATTACTACAATTTGAATGTTAAATGTCGTATGTAATTTGGTCACTAAAATTTAAATGTCAAACTCATTTGAAATCTTACAAAATCGAAAGATTTCAACGTTTTTAACGTTGTCAATTTCTTTAATGATACTTTTTCATGTGTTCTTGCATTGAAACTTCGTCATCAAACTGAACTTGACACAAGACACATTCCAATTCATATCGATCGATTCTTACTTCTGGGAACAAATCGAAAGATATCGATGGTTCCACATCTGGGTCGAATGTAGTGTCTTCATGAATGTCTTCAGTTTCGTGCGATCTGTCACTTGTCATTTTAGAAACGATTTCTTTACGTTGTATTTGTGCTTTTCCGGAATGAATTGCTGCACTACAACAGGGATCAAATTCTGTTTTTTCCTCTCATTTATAACGTCTTTAATATTGTCTTTTATATCCTGTAAATATATCCTTTTATTCCATAATATTATATCCTTTTATTCCATAAAATTTAATATATACTATCCAAACATTCGAATTCGTTTTAAAAAAGCAATTTGGATGTTATAATACTGTGACCTCCCGGGTCGGCACCTCCTTAGTGCCCAGTCAGGATTGACACCACCGTGTTTAGAGGAACACGGAAGCCGAGACGGCGATTTCGTCGTCCGTCGCGCGAGCGGTCCCGTACGCGAACAGTCGGATTCGACAGGTCAGAGTTAACATAGGGAAGAGACTCGAACTACCCTTAACAATCAACAAAGGGTTTATTAAAAATTTAAATGGAATAAAGTGTGGTCGCGGAGAGAGAGAGTTTACATATGATTCGCGTGGCGATAAATACCTGACAGGTTATCTTATGGATCGAGGTCTTCAAACCGCTGTTGACGATGTCACTTCCAAGTTCTGGGTTACGGAAATATCCAAATAGGCACTTAAGTTCGTTGTTGCGGTATAATCCAAATAGGCACTTAAGTTCGTTGTTACGGAATAATCCAAATAGGAGGTATTGTACGGGTCTGGTGGATGCTTCTTTTAGAGGAACGGCAGCGACTGTGTCGAAAACCTCCGATTGTCGCTATTTTCATTTGACAGTTAGCAATAATAGGTCAGAAGGTTATGTGAAAGCGTCTTTTCGCGACTGAGAACTGGCTGAGTAATTAACTCCCAGGTGTGAAATTTGATACTTTCTAAAGAAACTTATTATTGTTCACGAGTTAGGTCAGGCGGTAGGTTAATAAACACGGCTGAATCTCACAATACAATAATTTGTAATGATTGAACATTCCTGAATGTGTGTAAATAAAAAATTATTTACTACATATGCTGAGTGTCTGTTACTATAATCGTAGTTAGTCATTATATATTCGGTGCCATTTAAACAATTGGCGTGAAAACACTTTGTAACTGGGTGACGAAAACATATTGGTTGCAGTTTGAATAAATTATAGATTTATAAATTTCCACTGTCGTTTGTCAGTCCATCTGTTTTCAGTTTTTCTATAATTTCTAGAACGGAGTTAAATAAATGTAGGTCGAAACAAGATATGGAAATCTTAAAAGCAAGAAGCCCCAAAATTTTTCATAATTTTATGCATTTAGTTAATAAAATTATGTACAAAGTGTTCAGAAATTCTTTTTAAAACATGTTATTTGGTTTATTTTTGGTTTATTATTATAACATTGGTTTATTTTTTATTATTCAACTTTTGTCAAGTTGCCATGGGATCAATTCCCATCCAGTCACATTTTAAACTGATTTCTGATGAAAATACTTAATTCTATCAATTCAGTGAAGTGTATAGTTCATTTTCCCATTTTAATATGTATAATAATGAACTGAAAATTTTATTTCTTTACATGATTTAACAAATTCACTTGATTTAAAAAATGAAACTCGACACGGCCAGTTGTAAATACGAGGAAACGGGAAAATAGAATAAACTTTTGATAGATAATTTTAATGGAAGGAAAAACGTCAGGAACAGAATCGATGAAATTTTAAAATATGAAAACACAACTTTAAAAAAAAATTTACAACGAGTTGCGTAACTTTCAAGGTTGTTACACCCGGGAAAGTTACACCCGGATTTTATTCTAAAAATATCATTTTAATTATTAATATTGTTTAATCTATTACAGATAAAGGAATGCGAATGAATAAGAAAAAATTTATTGAAGTAATTTTGACGACGGAGACACGCAATAATCGTGAAATTTCGAAAGAGTATAACAGATTGCATCCAAACTCTTACAATCACACGGCAGTCAAGATGCAACCTGTTTAATTTCGGCAATTTCTCGCTGATTATATTTTTCTATCGTGAAAATGAATTCAATTAAGTCTTTGTTACAAGCAATTGATTTAAAATAATAAGTAGAGATTGATAATACTGTAATTATATAGTTATAGATTCACGTGACATTTTCGTTTACACATAGTTTCGTATACCAACTTCAAAATATGTACAGTACATTTGAGCACTAACTTCACAAGATTTATTAATTTTTAAAAACTTTATTAAACTTCTTGATTTGGATGTGGAATTATTTTAATAATTAACAACTTTACTATTTCTTTTTATAGTATTAATTGAATATTTGTTAAAAATTCATTTCTAAAAAATTTTTGTAAACTTACTTTACACTTAGTGAGTATTTTGCCTTCCGGATGAAACTTTTTCTGGTGTCTATTTAATTGAGTTTTGAATGTAAACGTTTCGTTGCAAATATTACACGAATACGGCCGCTCTCCGGTGTGTGTTCTCATGTGTCCCGTTAACACATCGGAAGAGGAAAGAACTATTCCGCACACATTACATTTACGTCTTGTGACCTTCGGGTCATCTGATGATATCTAATTACATAATAATTTAACAAATAATTATTTACAATACATTAAAGCATGCAACTCTTTACACGTTATATCTTAAGTTATAAATATGTTAACTCTATAGTTGTAATGAATGGCAAATGCATAGTTTCGGTCTGATTTTATAAAGGTTCGCAATTTATGAATAGGCTCAGAGTGAACTAAGAGAATGGTTTTTACGAAAAATGCAAGCAAATAAATCAACTCGTAATTTTTAAAGAATTTTTATCTTTAAAAATAAAAAATAATAATAATAACTACTATTATTTAGGAATATTATTGTTGTTGATGTTATAATGATTATGTTCCGTTTAGTTTCAGAAATGTATACAGTTTCATTGATTATTGTTTCTAAAATTAATGAAATGCTTTATATATATTCAGATAAAATTATATTGTATGTGTTTATTGTACGAATTTATCACTTTAACTGAACATAATACTTGGTGTCAATTATTTGTAAAACAGTTGTGAATCGTGTATTTTAACGACTTATTTCATTGCGATTATGTTGTAATTAACAGATTTTGTTTATGTTTTATTAAACTATGTGTATAGAAAATTATTTATGAAAATACAGCTAATAAGTTGTTGCAGAGTAATTTGCTTAGATCTTATTATTGATATTAGCAATTACGCACAGTCGTAAAACTGTTTTTGAAAGTCTTTTCGACTGTAATCTGAACTTATTTTTTAAATGATAATATAATTTGTAATTTTAATCAAACAAACATGAACTAACTTAATAACACTTTAAATAATAAAAAACACGTTCCTAGTGTTTCTACTTTATAAAATGTAAACACTAAATTAGAAAATAACAAGAGGTAAAAGATGTATCTCGTCTTGATAATGAGAATATCAATTGTAAGAATAATAATTGCGAAGGAATATTCTGCTAATAATTCTCTTAATACTGTAATTATATTGTGTTTGTTTATGTTATAACTTTTACTGCTTTGAGAATCGAAATATAAAAATAAAATTAAAAAATTTGTAATATTTACTTTAGATAAAACGTCTTTTAAATGCCATGCGAATATGTGTCGTTCTAACCCATATTTGTGTTTGTAACTCCGTTCACAGCCATTATAATTGCACTTGAATGGTCTTTTATCCGAGTGCGATTTTAGGTGCTGTGTTAAATACAGTCGACCCCCCTATAAGATATAGATACGTTCCAATTTATTAGGAATCCGATTTCTTACAAGTCCTTCCAATCACAGCCCGACACGTGTGAAGTTTACGGACTACGGCTGATTGAAAGGTTTTCTTCCATAAAATTAATCGANCTTGGTGTCAATTATTTGTAAAACAGTTGTGAATCGTGTATTTTAACGACTTATTTCATTGCGATTATGTTGTAATTAACAGATTTTGTTTATGTTTTATTAAACTATGTGTATAGAAAATTATTTATGAAAATACAGCTAATAAGTTGTTGCAGAGTAATTTGCTTAGATCTTATTATTGATATTAGCAATTACGCACAGTCGTAAAACTGTTTTTGAAAGTCTTTTCGACTGTAATCTGAACTTATTTTTTAAATGATAACATGATTCGTAATTTTAATCAAACAAACATGAACTAACTTAATAACACTTTAAATAATAAAAAACACGTTCCTAGTGTTTCTACTTTATAAAATGCAAACACTAAATTAGAAAATAACAAGAGGTAAAAGATATATCTCGTCTTGATAATGAGAATATCAATTGTAAGAATAATAATTGCGAAGGAATATTCTGCTAATAATTCTCTTAATACTGTAATTATATTGTGTTTGTTTATGTTATAACTTTTACTGCTTTGAGAATCGAAATATAAAAATAAAATTAAAAAATTTGTAATATTTACTTTAGATAAAACGTCTTTTAAATGCCATGCGAATATGTGTCGTTCTAACCCATATTTGTGTTTGTAACTCCGTTCACAGCCATTATAATTGCACTTGAATGGTCTTTTATCCGAGTGCGATTTTAGGTGCTGTGTTAAATACAGTCGACCCCCCTATAAGATATAGATACGTTCCAATTTATTAGGAATCCGATTTCTTACAAGTCCTTCCAATCACAGCCCGACACGTGTGAAGTTTACGGACTACGGCTGATTGAAAGGTTTTCTTCCATAAAATTAATCGATTCTACACTAATCCGACTCAACATTTCCAAAATACGTATATTTTTTCGTAGTTTTATAGGAATCGTAATTATAGGGACCGTAATTATAGGGGGGTCGACTGTATGTTTTCTCTGAAAAACGACGTTTGCAGGATTCGCATTTAAACGGCTTCTCTTTCGTATGAGTCCGCATGTGTGTACGTAAATGTTGTTTTGTCCCGAATGTTTTACCGCAAGTCCGGCATTGATGTTTTTTTCCTTTTAAAAAATTCCGTTGAGTAAAAATAAGTAATTAATAAAAATTTAAATAGAAATTATTTATAATAATATAAATATTTATCGTACTTTAAAATACAGTATTATGGTAAAATCTGTAATATGTACTCTAGTTACGATAAGAAATTAAGATACAACATGTCCTTTTGGTAAATTTTAAAACAACTATGGAAAATTAAAAGTGTTGCACAAAATAAAGATTTTACTCACCATTTCTGATTTTAATTAATTTAATTTTAATAGTAAATTGCCATAAATTTAGTGTTTTAAATTTAACGTAATAACTTAGCCGAAAATGAAAACAACAATGCACAAAAATAATGTTATAGAATTTTATTGTTGTTCGAGAGTAATTAAATGCGCATGTTTTAAACACAAGAATAATTGGAAACACAGAGATATAATTGCGTTTAATTTCTGTTCTTTAATGTGACTTTTGGTTATAAAAAGTACTTTTAAAATCATACTGTATGCATTTTGGAGTTTTACTCTCTTCAAGTAGCAAACGAGTTTGGTTTTATCAATTTTGGATTCTTGCAGACGTTTCCTTTGAAGTTATTCCATTGAAGGATGTTTCTAAATTAATTTATGTACAATGTGCACTATTTTATGAATAAAAAAAATAACAAATAATTTTATGTGAAATCAGTTTCAATGATTTAATTAAAATCAACAAAATGAAAATGACAAAATCTTATTTAAATGTTTTTTTTTTCGTGCAACAGAGCAAAATCGAAAGAACTTAACAAAGATAATAGTAAACGATATAGTATTTAAATACTTTCAACATTAAAGAAATTGTTCGTTAACGATACTTTTTTGTGAATTCTTGCAGAGAAACTTCGTTATCAAACTACAATTTACACAAGACACTTCGTATTGATCGATTCTTATTTCTAGGAGCAGATTGGAAGTTATCTATTCTTCCAGATGTGTTGCGTTGTCGGTGTCTTTATAAATGTCTTTAGGATAATGTGAAATACCCTTTATAAATGTCTTTAGGATAATGTGAAATACCCTTTTCGCTTATCATTCTTCGGACCTTCCAATGATACTGATCGTGAATGAGTAAGGTTTCGCAATAGAAGCAGCTCTTCGAAAAAATATAATTCTGTCCTCGAACCTCTGGGCTTCTTCTCTGAGGCTCTATACGTACTATATTTTACCCAAACAACGGGTAAAATATAGTACGTTCGACCGCCAACTCCTAGCAGCGTATTCAATAGTAAAATATTTTGCCTATCTTAAAAGGCAGGAACGTTTGAATTGAGCCCGAAACTGCCGATCAAATAAACTTAAAAGAGTTAATAAAAAAAGTTTGAAGAACTAAAAGTGAGGAAATAAAATTTCTTATGATTTTAGTGTAGCGATGTTACTTTTAGTTTTTATAAAATACTAGTTTTGTTTGTTTGATTGTGCAATAACACATTTTTGTAATAGCCAGGGCTGTGGCTGTGGCACATTTTTGTAATAGCCAGTCGGAGTCGTGGAATTTTGGTGTTTTAGCCGGAGTCGGAGTCGGAGTCGGAGTCAGAGTTGGAGTCGGTAGATTTTTACGCGACTCCACAGCCCTGGTAATAGCATTAAAAACAATTTGTAACTATGTACTGGAATATTTTAATTTTTACTTTTTGTAGTATTTGATTGTTAATTTTATATTACATGTTTTTTTCTAAATAAACTTTTTATTTTAATTTCATACCATTTAATTTTTATTTAAAATATAAGATATATATTTTTAAAAAGTATATGTTTGAGGGGAGGCTAGAACAGGCGTTGCTACCCGTTGTTTTCAATTTTCCTCGTTCGATTTTCAGATCGGCACACTTAAGACGTTTCACATCTGTCGACGTATTATCCTTAGCTACAACAGTTAATCGTAGTTCTTCTTCGTTCACCGTAGCCTCATTAACTCCGCCATCTTGTATGGATTTCATTATTGCTTTTCTAAAAGTTCTCGTATGAATTTCGTCAAAAATTGTATGAATAGTAACAAAAAGGGCAATAGTATTCCAACGTCTTCAGTCCTCCTCACTCCTTCTACAACTGTCGTCTCCTTTTCCTGTTCATTCTTGTCTCTTCGGCAACGCTTCGTTTATTTTCTTAACACTTTAAGTATTTGATTCATTTAACCCCCACATGTATTACGCTTGTTTTATTACATTTTATTCTTCTTTTTCTAATTAAAAGGTGATAGTACTATTTATTTTATGCATCTTTTCTAATACATTATTATTTTCTATTATATTCCTATTATAAATATTAACACGTCATCATCATAATGTGTTAATAACCTGTGTAATACCTTTTATTTTTTTTTAATTTCGGTCCAATAACGCTGCTCATATTCATATAATCTGTGTGCATATTCTAATTTTCTTCGTTTTCAACATAATTATTTTTAAAACACATATTTCGTTAAATCTATTTCATGTTCTTCTATTTCTTTATTTAATGCTTCAAAAAACATGCATCTTGTTTTCGACGGATACATTGATACTACATCTAATCCTATAAATTTAGATTGAGGTTCTATTATAACTTTAGTTAAACTAGTGATTAATTTGTCAGAATTTTGTATGCTCTAAATTAAAATATTTGAAATTCTTCAATACGTTCCTTTTACAATATTTTTCTAAGTTATATAGTAGTAGTAGTAAGACAGGTATCACTCTTTATGGTAACGGGGGAAGTTGGAGTGGAGGTGAGAGAGGAAAGGGGATGAAGATAGAGTTGGGATCCGTGGGCGTCTCGCGACGGTGCTTTATAGGGAAATGTTCAGTAAAAAATATTATAACAATAAAAAGAATTTTACAGAGGAATACATCGGGAGTGCTATGTTATAAATCACAAATAGCACTAACATAAAAACAGATAATAAACGTGTGTACATTATTCAGATTAACAATAGTACAGAAATTACATGGGGAGTGATATGTGACAACGACAGATAGCACAAACGTATTTACAGATGACAAACGTATATACAGTATGCATATTAACTATGCGTAAACTAGATACAATGTGGGTGCTACGTGCCAGATTGCAGGTAGCTCGAACAAATTATCAGGTTACAAACGTATTTACAATTGACATTCCTTGAGTTACACGAAAAGTACAGACAGTGATTTTTTATTAACGTGTGGTGTGAATATCGTAGTTCAGTAGATTTGCATGGCTACGAGGGTTCTGCCGCTGACTGTCTTTTTCGTTCTCTCTGTAAGCACTTTGATGCTCTGCAGATAATTATTCAGGTGATTGTACATGTCTTTCTCGTGTACTAGTCCTTGTAGAGGACACGGCCAGTTATGATTGTGTGAGGGACGAACAGACCCACAATAAAGTGTTATTTTAAATTTTAAGTATTGGAAACTTTAATCGGTTAAATTCGAACGTTTTATCGAGTTAGGCTAAAGGCCATAAAAATTATTTCCCACGGGGTTATTCTATTGTTGAGTCGGATCAAGTTAGTCAGGGATGTGTCACCAGGAACTTTGAATGGAAAAGACATATTGGACGGGCGACCGTTAAAGGCCATCACCTGACCTCATGGAAAAAACCCAAGAGGAATGAAAAAGGGAAAAAGAAAAACGACCCCGAAGTCAGTCGTCATCCGAAGTCCCTCTACAAAAGTCATCCTCCAGGATTAAAACCGTAACCCAGGATAAAACCCGTGCACCAAAATCCCGAAGTAACACTGTGACAGAAGTAACACCGTGTCTCTTTAAGAATCTCAATCCCACTTCCGTGCTTCCACGCCTCCGAGTTCCAGTTAACGGACAAGAACTAGTGGAAAGACCATTTCAGAGGAGTCCATAGTGTCCTCATACTACAGATCTGCGACCTAGGAAAAAGAAAGGTATTTATCAACCCGCGACTCGGTTGTAAACTCTCTCTCTCGAACGGAATAGTATAATTAAGTCCGCTAATATGCCCGATATCTCTGTATTTTCTTTGTTTATTATTAAAATTG